CAAAAGTGAGTTTGTTTAACCTATTTGATATCATTAATAAAGTGAGAAAGTAATATATATATATATATATATATAAATGAGAAATATAGAGAAGGTGATGTGGCAATCTCCATTTCCATTTTTCTTTTTTCTCTTTTTTTTTGCATCTTTTTCATATTTAAAATATTTAATTTATTGTGACAATATTATTTAATTTATTATAAATGAATATTATATTAATGAAGGAACATTTATGTATATCAAAGACTCTTCACATGTCAAATATTTTTTTATTTTTTATATTATATAAAAAAGAAAAATGACAATTACTACTCCTCCAATTTATTTTAATTTTTAATGTACAAAATTTGAATGTCTAAAAATTTACTACTCCACTCAATTTCATAATTTGAAAAATTAAAAGTCTCATAAGTTTTTTTTTTTGCCTTGTGGGTATTTTCTTATTATATAAAAAAGAAAATGACAATTATATATATATAATAAAGCTAAATGTAGAAAAAGTGATGTGGCACCTATCTATGACCTTCATTCCTATTTATCTTTTTTCTTTTTTTTTGGCATTTGTTAATTTTTCTCCTCATTTTTAATGTAGTTAATATTTATATAATTGTTGAATAATTAATGTTTTATTGTAAATATGTTATATTAATGTAGATGTCCATAACTTCAAGATGTAATTGCACCATTATGTGTAATAAACTCACACCTCCATCACCTCCTCTTTTATCTTCCACGCCCCTTAATCTTCCCACATTCTCAAGAATTAATGTCATGTTAATTGTTATCTCTTTATATGTCTTTATGTAACAATATAAATAGAGATGTTGAGAATTATGTTATGCACTTGAAGATTTGAGAAACACTTGAATATACTTGGAAGAATAAGAAAACTCTTCTATCTTATAATCTCTCTACATTTTTTGTCTACTTTCTTACTTATATTATTACTTCTTTAGCTTAATTTGAAATATGTTTTGATTATTGAATAGTCACATCTAATTGCATTTACCTTCTAGACTATAAAAGATGTATTAATACTTTGTAATTGTTCAATATAATTATAGACTATGAAAATTTATTATCTCCCAATAAGTATGAAATTTGTTACAAACGAATTCAAAGAGACAAAAATCTATGTGAAGACTTATTAAATATTATTTTTGTTATGAAGCTGCATTTTCAAGGTAATAAGTTGCCCACTTCTTTCTTTTTTGGTTGTTTTAGAAATAGTATAAATATGCAATAGTGTGAAAAATGTTTCGGAATTTCAAAAATATAATACTTTTCAAGTACTTTATTTTTTATTTCTTTTTTTCAATTTGTCTTTGATTCATTTAGTTGAAAAAATTGACAATGATTTAAATTATCTTTATGTCCAATGCAATGGACAGAAAAAGTAAACCCACATAGCCACACTAAGGTATAAAAAACATTTTATTCTTTACCTTCTTTTTTTTTATTCAATATAAATGCATAATTATTTTATTCAAGATTTTTATATGTATTTATACTTCTGAATGCAATATCTTTGAGTGGGTGATTGTTTCCTATGTTGAATTGAGACTTTGATGTGTGAGTTTTCATCACGCAATAACTTTTGTATGCTCTTCCTTTGCCTTTCTTTTTTTTCTTAAATAACTTCTTTGTAATTTTTCATGATCTATAATTATTTTCCATCAATTCTTTTGACTTTATAAATTTTCATCAAATGATATGAGTGATATAAATTTATATTATATTAATCTCATAACGTCTTTTTTTAAAACAATCTTGATTCTTTCCATGTGTTCTTTCATAATACTTAAATATATATTTTTTTCAATAAAAAAACTTAATTTTTTCAATCGATTTTCGAAAAGAGGAAAAAAAAATCTAACAATACAAAAAAGATCAAAAGACGAATGATTTCAGGAAGAAAAAATAATTGTCAAGACAAAAATAATGATAACTCTACCACCATCCAAACCATCATGGTCTTAAAGCTTGACTTGTATTAGAAAGGTTATGCCAACACATTTTTAATTAATTAATAAGGCATTAGAAAGGCCATGCCAACACATTCTTAATTAATTAATTAGGCTAAATATATGCATTGACAATTTTTAGATATTTTTAAGTTAACACAATTTTATATAGATAGGAATAGACAAGATGATATAATACCTCTTTATGAAATAAAATATTATTTGCACCCTTCTTTCATTTAACACTTTAATTGTGAAATAAATTGGACACATGATAAAAAAAAACTGAAGATTGAAAACAAGAGTTAATATTCATTCAAAAACATTGGTACTTAATATTTATAATAGAATGTTCAATGTAAATTTATGAGGAATACGAGAAAATGGGTGAGGTGAAAAG